AACAAATAAGAAGGTAATGGGTCAAAAAAGACCCGAATACCGCACCAGGGTTAAACTACCCTATGTACACGAAGCCTCGATTTCAAATTAAGAAAACTTCGAATGAAAATCTCAGTGATCATCAGCTAATACGAAAAATATTCTCCATTCTAAGGGACGTTTCTATGTTCTATGATAAAATGTATTTCCTCGTAATATATTCATCCCAAATCGAAATTAAGTAGAAATTAATTCGGTGCCTTTTTTCACAAAGTCTTGACGACTTCATCGACTCAAAGCCGCCATATTTTTTCAGAGATGAAATTCGTCAGTTTTACGATAAATGGAACAATGGTCATCTAAAATAATGGAGATTGAACGTTAAAATTGTATTTAACTTTTTGTAAATAAACATTGAAGTTTTTAATAAAAGACACCGAAATAATTTCTACACCTAATATGTACAGTTAGTGCGACCTTAAAATTGAAAATTAAAAGAAAAAGAATACGAAGAACTATGAAAAGAATATGAAGAAGTGTACAGTACGTGCATTACTTCAGCATTATTCGTTACATCTCTCAAACATTAATTAACCGCATTTAGAATCAACGTGAGCAACGAAGAACGAAAGCTTCGTAGTTTTGCCATGTACAATAAGCATCGAATAAGAACGGAACAAAAGAAAATGGGCTTTTCATAATTGTCTTGCGATTCAATTATTTGAATAACAAAGAGATCGCGGCTCGTTTCAATTTCCACAACAATCTAGCATAGGAAGGATTATCAGAAGGAGAAAAAGAGTGGAAAAGATTAACAATAGTGGTAACAGAGATTTCCACGAGTTTCGTTTTACCTATATACTCATTTCACCCTTTCCCGCGTGTTCTACTAGCTTTTGAATAATCCCTTATGCGACAACTTTTCAGACTAGTTACAATACGATTTTAAACAAAACCTTTTGAAACAAGTCACTGCCGTTTCATGTATTATGTATTACATAGCCCGAAAACCAGAATTTTCCGAGTTTCAAAAAGTGCGAATGTAACGGTGAAACTTTGAAGAAAATTTACATGAAAATATACGCTGAAATGAGATCCGCTATTTGCATGCCCGGTAAATTCATACATAACACACTTTTCAACGTGTTACTCGCTAATCGAATAAAGTGCTGAAAAAGTATTCTCGTAAATTTTTTAAATTATTTATCCAATTTATTCGAATGCTCTGAACTTATTTATAGGAAACGTAACGTTGCATTTTCACCATTAAACAGTTCGATATGGATTATACTGATGTCATAAAAATGCATAGATTAGTTGTACAACAATCGTAATGATATATCAATTTTTCTTCGTTCGAAGTTTTATTAATTTCTGCTTGTTACTTCTTCGATTGAAGATTGAACGAAAAATGTTTAAATTGACAATCGATTTTTTATAACAAATTTAGGTAGAAAATTTTGCGTTGAAAATAGGAGTGACACACTTTTCATTTCCCAGTAATATTTTGTAATAAATTGTGGAACACGCTGTTTACATTTCCTGTAAATTGTAGGTTCAGTTTTTCTGCGAAGTACATATCCCTATGTTCCATACCACTGTTCATTTTCTGGGAAAATTTTTTAACAACTTTATTGCGTGATGCTACAAAAGATAGAATATTACAAATATTCTACGTAATGCTTAATTTGACGTGCTTTTAACGACTAATAGAGCTCCAGTATTAATTTTCATTAATATTATTCTACTAATTTATTTATTTACTCGTTATTTCTTTACTGACTGTAAAGTTTATGATTTCATCGAGAGAAATAAACCTGAATGTTTTTATCAACATAAAAAGTAAACAAATAAAAATCTAGTTAATTCTATTGAAAGATATAATTAAATTAATGAAAAATCAAAAACCTTTATTTTCAGGTACAACTCATTTTCATTTGCATTTACAATACACTAGTATTTTTATATATTCTTTTTTCTGGGGCGTTCAGACGATAAATAACTATTGTCAATATTCATTAATAAACTGTACTTTCCTCATTAATAACCAATTAATATTCACACTATTTATTAATTATTTATTATTTTCCTCATTTTCCTACTATAACGACAGTACACATAATATTGATCGTCTGGGGGTCCCTTCACACGCACAATAATGTCGAGAACCAAATATTGACAATACTGAAAATTAAAAATCAAAAATTAATCGTCTGAACGTCCCTTCACAGTTCAAACCTCCAACAGTGTCCAAATTGCATCAAACCTGAACACTCTATATAGAAAATATTCTTTTCTCCTCACGACCGTTCAACGTCAAATGTTTCAAGCTTTACATCCGACTCACAGTCGCGTAAGTACGTGTAAGCGATTTAACACGATCCTCCGCGTTACATCCTGTTTGTCGAAAAGCCATCGGACAATATCGCGGCAGGACACGTTGCAACGATAATCTTGAGACATTACTTGCGTTAAGGTGACAGTGGAATGTAAAAGCACGTGCGCGAAAAGAGAAATAGAGGGAAAGTAAGAGCGATGGATAGGGGTAAGGCGACGATATATCTGAGTACCGTTAAAACGGTATTACCCCACTTCGAAACTGACGATTAATCATAGGTGTGCACCCGCTGCTCCGGCAGGAAAAGGGAGCTGATTGCCCTCATACTACCGATTCGGACGGGAGCGAAAACCTGCCTGCGCTGGGTGTTATTGATTTCTTGACGGATTCTTACTTTCGGATCCCTGTACAGTTTACCCTTTGAGAATTTAACGAGCGACTGTTCTACCAGCCTGATATACAGGGTGCTCCCGAAATCGTGGTACAATCAGGAATTAGGTGATTCCTTGTGTGAAAATGGGAAGAAAATTTTTTCGTACGGGTCTTCACTTTTCCGAGAAAATTGAGTTTGAATATTAGTATCAAAGTGTGGTGGACTGGTGCAACGAAATTTTCACGCTTTCATTGTTCCAAAGCCTGTATAACACTTTCTTTCAGTTGCACTATCTTCTACTATTCCATCAACGCGATTCCTCAAATAAAAGTCCAGTGGACTGAGATCGACGACCCACAAATAAAAGAGTGGACGAATTTTTAAACCGAATTTTCTCGAGAAGAGAGTCCCATAAAAGAAAATTTTCATTTTATATTTTCTA